CCCCAAAACCCCAAAACCCCAAAACCCCGTTGTTCCAATAAAAACCATATTTATAAACAATTTCTACTGTTTCTTTGATAATTAAAATTTAAATATCTTAATGGTGGTGGATCATATATTGTAATCATCAGTACTTAATAGTTTTAGGAATATAGCTTTCTTTGGTATAACCTACCAGTCTTATAAAGCATTAATAAGAAACAAGGAAGTTGAACAAATGCAGAAAGGAGTGGTCAACAAGGAGGTAAGAGAAGAAGTAAAAAAGAACGAAGAACAGTTAGTCAGAATAGTCATGAAATGGTAATCATCAATCGTCATCAATACCTAATAATATATATAAAATACTTGATAATAACCAACAGTATAGGATAACAGCTTTTCTGTTTATCAAAATGTTTTGGATAATAGAGAAATTCATAGTCATTATCCCCCCAGCACCCATTAAGCTTTGGCTTGGCTTATGGATCATGCTGCCTAATTTCTATGTAAGAACATATTATCCTATAGTAACAGTATTAACCTGATTAATAGGGAGAGTTTTTCATGTATAATCTACTAAGTGATAGATTAGATAAATTTGAAAGAGAAATGAGGAAAATCAGAAACAAAATCGTGGCATTAATTGTTGAGTATGCGATGAGATTCACATTCGTATTACTGATAAAGTTTAAGCCCTATATTCATACTCTGACACTAAAGAGATTTAAAGAAAACACCTAGACCTAAGAGAAAGAAATTGACAGGGAATTAGAACTAAGGAAAAAACTAAGTCAAAGTGAAAATGATCAGATTATTAGAGACAGCAGTGTTTTAAATAATGAAACGATAAAAGCTTTTAAGGATCCAAAACAACAAAATCTCACCAAGCAAGCATCAGTTAGTCAGTACCCAAGAATCAATAAAAGTGACACTCTCAGAGCTAAGGCCACAAGAGAGGCCAAATAAGACATGAGCAAATCATTTATTGATCAAATGGAGGCACTTGACCAGAACGCTAAAGCAGTAACTGACAGGAGAAAAGCTCAAACAAATCTTGGACATACTTTGACTGACAGAATGAGCAAGGGCATCCAGTAAAAAGTAGCAGCTAACACACAAAAGGATGTGAAGAAGCCAATTGAGCAAGTTGTAACTTAATCTCAATTCTATATTGACGAGACTATCTTTTCTGATGAGGACGACTCTTCAGTAGTTATGGAGTCACTAGATAGAAAAAGTCAGACTTTGAGTTTCATCTAAGGAATCGATAAGTCCTTCGATATGCTACAGCCATAGCAAAGCAAGAAACCAATCACTAGAAATGTAATGGGAAAGACCAGAACAGCTGCAACTTCTAATAGATATGGAACCTAGTAATCATTGAATGTAACTATCGATGAGGACTATTAGGAGAAGGCTGAGAGAGATGTCAAAAAATTCAGATGAACTTTCAATAAATTATTACTGATTAAAACTTACTATGAATGATAAAAATCATGATATATTCAAGACTTTACTTTAATTTCTTAAACATAAACAAATATTGATTTTTAAGCATTTTTATTGAGTGGGGTTTTGGGGTTTTGGGG